GGGCCCGTACGGAATGAAACGTCGCTAAGGAGGGGCAAGTGGGAGACCGAATGCTCAACAAGTCCGCTCCATGTTCCCGCAGGATCCTCCGCAGTTCGCAACGACTTGTCGATCACTCATGAGGTTTCTATCAATGGCAACGGCAACCAACTCCGCAATGTGGCCATGAGTAATATTCCTCATACATAAGTCCGTTCTCGCTCATTCCGCCTCTTTAGATCGCACACTCTCAAACTAGTTCACTTGACTTTTCGGACTTTCTTGATGATACCCCACGCACCCTACTTATCAATATCGAAATTAGTGATATCATAATACGACAATGGCCGAGACACACGGAACATGCGAGGCCAAGTTCCAGAGTGTTCGCGATAAGTTCAGTGAACTCTTGGGATCTGGAGTCGAGCTGGGTGCATGTCTCACCGTCACCATCGACGGCGAGGACGTCGTTAACTTGTGGGGAGGTTACGCTGACGCCAATCGCACCCGCCCCTGGAAGGAGGACACCATCGTAAACGTTTTCTCCACAACAAAAACCATTTGCGCGCTCGCAGGCCTCATTCTCATCAACGAGGGCGAGATTTCGCCCTATGACAAAGTCTCAAAATACTGGCCCGAGTTCGCAGCCAACGGCAAGGAGAATGTCGAGGTCCGCCATCTTCTGTCCCACAGCTCGGGTGTGGCGGCGTTCGAAGACCCCATTACCCTCCAAGAGATGTCCGACTCATATGAGGAGGTCATTTCCAGGCTTGAAAAGCAGCCGGCCCGCTGGGAGCCCGGAACCAAGTCTGGATATCACGCCTGGACCTACGGCTACTTAATCGGAGAGCTGGTGCGCCGAAAGACGGGACTGACTCTCACGGAGTTCGTCTCTCAAAGGATCGCAGGGCCCCTTGGTGCCGATATGCAAATCGGAGCAAAGGAGAAAGATTGGCCTCGCGTTGCTGAGCTGATTCCCCCGCCGGCCCCTCCAGCCCACATTATGCCTGAACAAGACGAGGACCCCGACTCTCTGAAGCACAAGATGCTCCATCCGTTCCCGGATCCTAGCTTCGCAAACACTGAGCCGTGGAAGAAGGCTGAGATTGCCGCAGCAAACGGCCACGGCAACAGCAAGGCTTTGGCAACGATTTGGTCCAGGTACCTTACGATTGGTGATGAGAGCAAGAGACTTTTGTCTCAGAAGACGATCGACCTTATCTACAACGAGCAGACGTACGGTCCCGATCTGTGCATGGGATTCCCCGTTCGCTACGGAATCGGCATGGGTCTCAGGGGCAATGGCAACACGCCGGTGGACTCTTGGTTCCCGGAAGGGAAGATCTGCTTCTGGGGCGGCTGGGGTGGATCGATGCTCATCAATGATCTTGATCGTCGAATCACCATTGCCTACGCGATGAACAAGATGTCGCTTGGTTCTGCAGGCAACGAGGCTGTTTATGCCTACGTTGCTGAGATTTACAAGGCACTGGCCGTTCCCGTAGGAACTCCTAACGCTCAAGCCTAAAGGCTTTTGTGTTGCGTTTGGATAGGGGTGATTCGTGAATAACATCGTCATCCATAGTCGCAGTAGCTGAGGAAACTCGCTATATTAGACACTAAACGCAAATGGCTCATTCATGGCCATGGGTTCAATGCATTGAACTCTGCCTAAAAGTGGTCTGGAAAGCGACTGAACGTCAAAATACCAATTTACAACAATTTGCATACGAATGCTGTTGGAAGCTAGCTACTGAAGACTATAATTTTGGGAAAGTGTGAGTTTTAAACTCTAGTCGCGCTGTTGCAACACCAATTTTCAAACTGAACTTCGCTAATGAACAACTTTTTAGATCGATCTGCTCCCTCATGGCATCGCTCTGATTTCAGTATTGGCAATTATATCATTCCATTCAACAGCTGAAGTCTACTTGTTACCCCGACTCACTTTGTGATCCGAAAAGCCCCATGCCTGATTCCACTGTCTGTAGCTGTCTTGTGTAACTACCCAAGTGAATGTTAAGTTACTTAGGTACGGCACATAGACTTCGTACATTGCATTGCCTTTTAGTTGTTTAAACAGGATAAAGGGGTATACTTACTTCAAGGTTGAGTTTTGTCGTTAGCTCGACCAATCTGTGTTCTTTCTCGATATCCTCGGCAAAACGAGCAACTCCGGCCCACGGGTACATGTCTCGAACCGGATGAATTGCTTCGTAGCGAGGCACACCGACTGACTAGTTGTCGACATGCTCCCATGCCAAAATTGCACGAACATATCTGGGGTCCGGACCCCGGACCCCTGTGGGGTAGGGCTGGCCGTATCTGTGATATCCCAGCGGTTCGTTGCCAAAGATATTTGCTGGGCACTAAGTGCTGTGGCAATGCTACATGCCTGCATTACTGCTTATTTCATTGCATATCTAGGGCGAAAAAACCCACCACTGCATGTCAAAATGGAAGCAATGTCACCAATGGCCCGTAGACTCGGCCCCGGGGTTCTCTTCTGACCCTTGGCTGCATTAGCAAATTCATCGTGGGCAGTCATGTCGGACTCGCACATATCTTTACGGGTGTCCGCGTCTCACTGCACTTTCCTTTCTCCTCTCTCTGCTGTTTAGCCAGGCAGGATTTTCGCTCATTTACTTGTCAAGTTCCTTGATCGCATCGATCGCCAATTTTCAATATGCGCCTTTTGGATCTGGGCCTTCTTGCCCTGCAAGCCAGCGCGCTCAGTTTGGCTAGTCCCGTTTCCCGCTCAGCAGAGTCCGACATAGATCTTGTGACTACCGAGAGGCTCCAACAGCTTGCCAGCTTAGCCCAGACTGCCTTTGACAAGACAAAGTCAGAGGTCGAGGGCAGTGAAACGAAAAAGCGCAGCAGCGCATGCTCTTGGCATGATGTTCGTGTCCGGAGAGAGTGGTATGTTCTTGCCTGCCATCGTCAAAGAATTGTCCCTGTAGTTCGTTATGCTTACATTGCGATTTCTTAGGGGCACGCTGAGCAAATCTGAGAAGCTTGACTACATCAATGCTGTCAAGTGTCTTCAGTCCAGGCCGGCCCGCACACCCGCTTCACAGTCTTCTGGGGCTAAGACTAGGTTCGATGACTTTGTCGCAACTCACATCAACCAAACTCTCACCATACACTATACTGTCCGTTTTATGAGACGAGAATATATTGTGAAGATAACTGACCGCAGCAGGGTAACTTCCTATCCTGGCATCGATATTTCACATGGCAGTATGAGGAGGCTCTGCGCAACGAGTGTGGCTACGAGGGCACTCAACCCGTGAGTATCTCAACTCATGGTTACGTCAGTATTCTTACTAACCTAATACAATAGTACTGGGACTGGTCCAAGACCGCGATCACAGGCTTGGAGACCTCTCCAATCTTCGACGGGAGCGAGACCTCCATGTCTGGAAATGGTGATTTCGTCCCAGGACGAGAGCCCATCCGTCTCGGTGGCCAGAATGGTCTTCCGATCATCGAACTTCCAGTCGGTACAGGCGGAGGCTGCGTAAACTCTGGGCCCTTCAAGAATATGACAGTCAACCTTGGCCCCGCTGCCCTTGACCTGCCCGGTGGTATCTCCGAGGCTAATCCTAACGGGCCCTTGACATATAACCCCCGCTGTTTAAAGCGCGATTTGACAACTGAGGTTAACCTCTTGTTCGCCAACGTGACTGCTGTGCTGTCGAATATTCTTCAGCCTCAGAATGTGTACGACTTCCAGATACAGATGCAGGGTGTGCCAGGCTCTGGTAACATTGGTAAGCTTGATAAACTTCGATAGAAATTCAATGCAGGCAGAAAAAATACTGACGAGAGTTTCTCGATAGGTATCCACGGTGGTGGTCATTACTCCCTTGGAGGAGATCCCGGAAGAGGTCAGACACACGAAATTCCAGCAGGCTGAGCGGTGCTAACTTGTGACTGTAATGAGTAGACGTTTTCACTTCCCCAGGAGATCCTGTTTTCTATCTCCACCATTCGATGATTGATCGAGTATGGTGGATGTGGCAGATGCTTTCACCGGAGGAGCGTCAATATGGCGCCACTGCTCTCAGCGGAACCAACACATTCCTGGACCAACCCCCCAGTGCCAACACAACCATGGATGATGTGCTCCAGTATGGCTGGGTTGGGGAGTCTCTCAAGATTCGGGACGCCATGAGCACCGTTGCAGGTCCGTTCTGCTATGTGTACCTATGAATGGAAGTTCCAAAACAGGGAGGATTACTTCACATATTTGTGTACGGATAAAGGCAACCGTGGCTTCGATATTAGTTTGGTTTCGCTTCTCCTACGTATCGTATATCTCAAAGGATGACGTTAAGATGAATCGCCGATCGTCATGGAGGCAGTACTTCACCACTAACTCGCAAAGCCGCGCCGGCCTGTCTCCGGTGCGGAGTCGAGCAGATCTTCCGAAGACCGCAATCCGAAGAGGATCCCTACTCCGGGGTCATTCCGGGGAATCGACCCGTAGTCCAGCCGATTGACCTTACTACGGTAGATCACTCAAATTAGCCCTGCGCTGCTTGCCGATGTCTTTCTAAACATGCATGGCGTTCCAGACGATGACGCGATTATGCTCAATGCGGATAGTGTCGCCGCGGTTAGCACGGCACAGCTTGCATCAGGATTGAGGCGCCAAACCTAGCGCCATGTACACGTGGAAGCTCCCTCGGGGGGATACGTCTTGGCAAATGCTTGATTCACCCGACTGAGAACTCAGTACGCAGAACGCTTGAACGTCTCTGAGAGCACGTCTTACCGTGTTTGAGGCGCCAGAATTCTCTCTTTCCAGGACGATGGTCACTTTCTCCCAAAGATGGTGTATCGCTAGGCGCAGCCACCTCGAAACTCAGACACATTAGGACGAATTTGGGTTAGCAAACGTCAAAGTACTTAAAAGAAGCGTTTGCCAAACCAGAGATTCCAGAGATATCTAAGCATCTCGCCATACTCAATAGGCCAAATAAGTCAAGTTGGTTCTTGGATCTCACAGCATCATGCGCGTCCTTATTAGCGGAGCAGGCATCGCCGGTCCAACGCTGGCTTGGTTTCTGGCCAGAACCGGTGCGCGTGTCACAGTTGTTGAGAAGTGCAAGTCGATTCCTACCTACGGCCATAACGTCGACGTCAACCACAGCGCTATCACTGTCTTGAAGAAGATGGGCCTCATTGATCAACTTCGGCGCTTCAACACAACAGAAAAAGGAACACAATTCATCGATCCGAAGGGGCGGCCCTTTGCTCCTTTTCCTGTCAAGCAAGGCTCTTCCGCAAGCCCTACCTCAGAATTTGAGATCCTGCGAGGGGATTTAGCTGCAGTGTTGTACGAAGCCACGAAGACCCATCCAAACATCGAGTACCTCTTCGGCACTACCGCCAGCAAAGTCATATCCAACGACGACACCAATATCAAAGTCGAGCTAAGCAACGGAGAAGTACAAGAGTACGACTTGTTGGTCGCAGCAGATGGCCAGTGGTCAAAGGTGCGAAAGCAAGTCTTTCCCAAGGAAAGCATCACCGTCATCGACAAGAACATGTACGTCGCCTACGCCGCTATTCCCCGCCTCCCCGAGGACAACGACTGGTGGAATATCTACCAGGCCCTGGGATCGAGGATCATCACCACTAGGCCCGACCCGCACGGCACCATACGGGCCATGGTCACGCACATGCCCTGCGACGGCACGCAGAAGACGGCATGGCAGGAGGCCGCACGAGGCGACAAGAAGCTCCAAATGGAGCTCGTGAGGCGGGAGTTCCTAGACGCCGGGTGGCAAACGCCCCGGATCATGGACGCCATGGCGCAGGCGGAAGATTACTACTTCCAGGACCTGAAGCAGATCAAGATGAAGAAGTGGTCCAGCTCCCGTGTCATCTGCCTGGGAGATGCGGCCTTTGCACCGACGCCCCTCTCGGGCATGGGAACTACACTGGCCATCATCGGAGGTTACATGCTTGCGGGCGAGCTCACCAAACTCACACCCGGAGACCAACCTTCCAGGGCATTCGAAGCTTACGAGGCTGCGTTTCGCCCCTACGTCGAGGAGACTCAGAGCGTTCCGTGGTTCTTCCCAGGAGTCGCGCATCCGGTCACGGCATGGCAGAGGTGGTTGCTAGGAACGGTTGTGTCGACGATGTCCAGAGTTGTTGCGATGCCTTGGGTGGCTAAGAGATTCTTTGATGATACGAACAATGACGATTCGGAGTTTCCACTGCCAGCATATCCTCTTCTAGACGATGAAAAGCTAAAATGAGACAGGTTGGCGACGGTATCCAAGAGGCGGGGCAGTGGTGCACTTGGTACTAGATGAACAATTTGGGGAGGAAACTTGGTCATGGCTAGTCTTGGGCAAAGACAAATTCGTTTCGCTAAGCATGTTGAAGAGTCAATTCATAGGTTTATTCATAATTTTACTCACAAATTCATTTTTAAGTTGACCTTTGTTGACAATTTTCAGAGAAAACATTCATAGACTTGTTAGTAATTCTATGGAGTATAACTAAGAGAAAGGGAGAAAGTGAAGGTACTATGCCGACCTCACTTTACCTTATGGTGGGCAGGAGCGTTAGCTATGAGCAAGAGAATGCAAGACCACCTGCTCAAGAAATCAGTCATATTAGTTGCTTGCGAGGTTGAATCGGTGAACCACCTGTCGACCCCTTTAAGCCTTGTTTATAGAGGATCTCCCGGCGAGACAAAAGACCGAGTCCGTATCACATGACCTCGTTGGTATAAGATATTGCCTCTTCGGGTAATAGAATATATGAAGCAAATTCTAAGCAAGAGGCTCATTTATTTCACAACGACCACTTTCCGCTCTTCCTCAAATCCCCCCTCGACTTGCTCCACGTCGAGGGATCAATCTTGTAAATCCACCCAATGTTCTTCTCACCATAACTGACAGGACCCTTCGTCTCCAACCCACCCAAACCCATAGATCTCATGACCGCTCTCCAGGGCTCATTCTCAAGCTCAGTCTCGACGCGTACAACACTACAGCCGAGCCCCTCGACAGCAAACTCGACTTGGCCACACAACACCTCTCTGCCGTAGCCCTTTCCCCAGTAACGCTGATCGAGGACCACCCCAAAGTCGGTAAGATACGGCGTGATAAGGCGGCGAGCCTCCCCAGTAACACCATCTTCCGCAGCATCCTCACCTCCTTCTTGCCCATCTTCATCCCGCTTCCTCCTCAGCGCAACATCACACGTTTCCCCCTCTGCAGTCTCAAAACAGTTGAACCCGCCACACCCAATCAACTCGCCCGTCTCCCGAATCGTAATCATCAAGATAGCCTTCTTCCCAGACGCGTAATCCGGTCCCCACCTCTCGATGCGGCCGCGTATGATCTCGGGAGAGATGTCCGTCTGCGCACCTCCAAAAGGGTGGTTCTCGGGCGTCGAGAGGAGGCGGCAAAGAGCCTCTGCATCGCTCGCGACGGCGCTGCGGATGATGAGCCGCGGGGTTGTAATTTTGTAAGCGGCTTGAGGGAATGGGGCAGTCATTGTCGCTGGGGTTTTGCGTGGCTTGGTGCTTTTCTTGGAAAATGAAGGTATGGAAAGTTGAGGAGGCACGTTGGGGAACGTCTGAGGCGATGCAGATAATTGCTGGCCGTTTGCTAGATGGCAGCACGTTCTGCAGGTCAAATGGAAACCTCTTGTCCGTGACTGTCTGGATCAAGCGAGTTGACCTGCACTTCAGATTCACACGCGAAGAGCAAGAGGGAAGATCTGAAGGTGATTATGATGCCCGGAAATGACTAGGATGACTATCTCACACCTTATTTCGAAGAGAGGAGGGGAATCCTCTGGTCTACGTAAGTACCTTTGCTTGCCCTATCAACGTTGATGGGTCTGTCAGACGTTCAATCCGGACCTTTTGTTCGCTTATCCTTCATCCCTGTCCTGGCTTTGGCCTCACTCAGCAGTGATGCATGAGATGAGCCGTGAGTGAGACCGGGGATAAGGAATTGGATTGACCTTCTTAGTGAATGCATGAGTGGTCTCCAGAGTTGATGAGTAGGATTGTCCCTCAATAAGTCAAAACTCATGCTATCTGTAAGTAAAATGTGGCTGACTAGGGACAAACACATCGGACAGTGACTACGGGCAAAGAAGCTGAAGAATCACGGTGTTCGAGAAGTAGATAACCGACAAATTTCTACCATTTTATCAACTTTACACGGCTCAATATAAATTTCCGCTAACTAACAACTAAGATATCATCTCCTCTTCCGTCTTTAATGGTGAACGGTCCATCGACCCAGAAATGAGAAACAGCTTCCAAGAAAGGCCTGCTCATACAACATGAAGCTCAAACCAAGGGGGAGGAAGTATCCTGCGGGGCGGCTCGCTGCCACCCTCGGTCCACCCCACCCCCTCCACCTTCCGTAACAATTAGGCGGCGCGGCGGCGAAGGTTCCTCCTGGCCCAGCGCGTGCGGAGCACGGCATCTGGTGTTTCGTCACGCTTGTTGTTGTTGCCGTTCTGCTGGTTCTGGCGGTTACCGTTGCCCTTTCCAACCGTTGCCAGAGGCAGTGCATTGTTGTTTCCGTTGGCATTGGCATTGGCATTGGCATTGTTGCCGCCGTTCTGGGCGTTGGTGTTGGCACCGCCGTTGTTGTTCTTGCCCCGGGTCCGTCCGTTGCCTCCGTTGTTGCCCGTGTTGGCATTGGTGTTTCCGGTATTAGCATTCGTGTTTCCGGTATTAGCATTGGTGTTTCCGGCGTTGGCGTTGTTGTTGCCAGCGTTGGCATTGTTGTTGCCAGCGTTGGCGTTGTTGTTGCCAGCGTTGGCGTTGTTGCCGCCGGCCGCAGCACCGCCGTTGTTGGCGTTGTTGTTACCATTGCGGTTGCCCTTGCCCTTCTGTCTTCCGTTACCATTGCCGGCGTTGGCATTGCCATTGTTGTTGTTTCCGTTGTTGTTATTGTTGTTGCCAGTGTTGGCGCCGGAGCCGGCAGGGCCGGCAGCCTGCTGAGTGGCATTGTTGCCGAGGAGCTCCTTGATGGCGGTAACACCCTGATCGTCCTGAGTCTTGGCTTCCTGGTTCGACTTGACGGCGGCAGGGAGGTCGACAATGTTCTGCTGGACCTGCTTCAGGACACCGTCCAGGGTCTGGGCGGTGGGAATGTTGGCAGGGGTGTTCTGCTTGGGCTTCGTGTCCGTCTGCTGAACAGCGAAGCAGCCGCCAAAGGGACCCTTCGCGTTATCGTTGAAGCAGCGGACGGTGCAGACATCGCCGGTGGAGGCTATCAGCAAGTTTGTTAGTCATCGGCAAACTTGAAGCGCGGCGGAGATTCCTATGGCGACGGCCATAGAGGAATATGGAGTTGACGTACCTCCTACGCAAGCCAAGTCATCTGGCATCGTGACCTTGAGCTTGATCTGTCCGCTCTGGGCTCCTGCCTCTTGCACCTGAAGCTTCGTCTGACCCGTGGCACCGTTGGCGTTGCTAGTCAAGTCAAGATCGCAGCTGTACGGTCCGGCGCCGTCCGCGCTGACTTGGGCGATGGTGACGTCGACGTTAGACCCCTTTGTGACCTTCGTGACGGTGTTGTTGCCCAGCTGAGCCTCTGTGGTCTCGCCGATATCGATGTTGCCCGCGAGGATGGTTCGGCCGCACTCGTTGACGACATTGTCCACAATCTCCTTCTGGTTGATGATGTTTGCATCCGCCTTGTTTGCATCGACTGGAAGCATTTGTCAACGATTCGTCCTAGAATTTGCGCATCTCGTATCATAAAAGTGCATACCTAGAAGACCTGGACTAGCAGGGCCGTTGGGGCCTTGCGCGGCAAGAATGACACCTTGGGCCTGGGCCATCGCCAACATGGCGGCAGCGGCCAACGCTCTCATCATGGGAGAAGACATGGCTGTGAGAGGAGACAGGTGGACCGAAAAGAAAAGGTAAACACAAGTCAAAATTGGATTAGTAGCGAAAGGAAGTTAAAAAACAATGTGTCCAGCACCGCGTTGATGGAAGGGAAAGAAACGAAAGAGGTTTGGTTATGGCCTCTCTCAAGAAAAGAACAGACCGGCTGGGAGTGTGAAAAGGAAGAGAAGGGAAGGAAAAACCAAGAAGAGATCGAACTCAAGGAAAGTGTGAGCGAGCGATCCAAACGGGAAGAGCACAGGGAATCCTGCGTTTTACCCGATGTGCGAGGACTATTAAGTTTTATACATGCCTGCTTCCTATTTCCTCTTTTTGGTCTTACCCCCTTTGGCGATGACAAGAGGAGTTACTTCAAGGGTAGAGCTTGTTTCGACAAGGGGTCACAGACGTTGAGGATGGGAGGATGGGCGATGGGGCTTGTTGGAAAAGATGAGAGCATGTTTGTGTAAGCGCTGCTCAGCTGGTGTTGAGCCGATGGGCAAGAGTGAGAGCCAGGTGGGAGAGAAGAAGCAACAGGACCGGGGGTAGGAGGGAGTGGAAGAGCCCCCCAGAATGGACCACATGGGCATGAGAGCAACAGACTTTCAGGAACCGTGAACGTTGTGCCTGTGCCTTGTGCCTAAACTATCCAGTCTTTCTGCAGACTGCGGCTCTTCCTGCCCGTGTTTCCTCAAAGGTTCTGGGCAGGCTGGGTAAGGCAGGCGAGGGACCCCGGGCTAGCACAGATCCCCTCCGCGGCTCCGACGATCTTCTGGAACGGATGCCGTCGCGTGGGTGGAGATGTCAGGTGGGGACGGGGGCGTTACGCGGGTTATAGACTCATGGAGACCTCTGTGGAGTTGGAAGGGGGTTAATGGAGACTCTTGGAGGCTGCGCTGAAGTCTCGAGGTCGCCATTCGAAGACAAGGACCAAGACCGAGTCTTCTCCGTGGGGGCATGGCTGTGTCGCCCAATGTCTGCGTCCTTGCTAGCCACGCCTAGTGACTGGTCAAGGGGCGGATAGGGCAACGAGAGCGACAGGGGGGGCGACCATCCCGTCATGTCGGCCGGGGATGCATCGATTATGGGCAGATGTTGAGCTGGGAGTCCAGACGAAGACGGGGCTGCAACCGCGTTTCAGGCTTTTGAAGATGGGCCATGATGGGTTATAACGCTGCGCCCACGAGAGAGTGGATGAGAAGGAGAGGGATCAATACCAGTCGCAATGGAGAAAAGTTGAAGCACAGTCTGGATCCGTCCTTCTCCATCGTCCCCCTCCCCTTTCTTCTCTCCATCATGGCGGTCCAGAAGGTGTCGCGGCGGCGAACCTCCGATGGCAGCTTTTGCGTTCCCGCCCGAAGGAAAGAAAAGTTCAGACGGGCCCGCTCTCTGAGACGAATTCGTAACGCACGGGAGTCCAATGACAGGTTTTCTTGCGGCGACGCTTCAGGCTTGAGCGTTCGAGATGTTGACTGAGGGGGTATTTAGACTTGATGATGCTCCACGATATTCTTGTCTTCGGGAACAAACTTGTTCGGCTGCCGGACCACTTCTACCTTCTCTTGTCGTTGCAACCTTGGTGGGAGTCGAGAAGCTAGCTGATGTTGGGCGCCCTGTAGATCCGGGATTGGCGTCGGGAAGTCTCCCCCGACACTACTCTGCACAAGCTTTGTCAGCCCCGGAGACCAGGCCGAAGAGGACGATCCTCAAGGGATTTCCTGTAGTTTCCGGACTTCGAGACGTGCTTCGGAATTAAGGTACAGCAACAGAGTTGAATTAGGGGCAAGCAATAAATTGAAGCGGGAGCTGCCATATTGAGGTGGGGAGAGTTAATCGGCCTAGTGTCACTCTTGTTGGAGCATGTCAGAGAGGTCCGTTCCAACTTCCAGGGCATTTTGTCCTTCGCAAGCAGTAACTTACTAAGCCTTACCAAGTTACCAGCGAAGCAAACTCGCATATCATGGCCGCTTCAGGGTTGCCCGGGCAAAAGGGAAACGCTAGGTCCAGCACCACTACCACCCACAACCGTCGTCATCGCACGACTTTGAAACAAGCACCCGGCCACTGTTTGACCCATCCAACGATTAAGGAAGAGAATGTCCCGCTGTCTTGCCAATTGATGACTGACTTGGTGGGGAGACAAAGTTCAACGGCTCTGACTGGGGTAGAGGTTTAAATACCACGGGCTGGCACACTCAAAGACCTAAAATACCTACGCAGCGTTCCTCTCGTTGGACTGCCAAAAACTCTCGCTTTCTTCCCCTTGAAAATGAGAGGGTTTCCACACCCAACTATCTTATGTGGACTGCGCCATGAAAGACTCTGGGGATGCTTTCTGTGTGAGATATGAGGACTTTCGTCTAACTTGTGACTCCATAATTCCTGTCGCTCCTGCGTACTGGCGTCTCCTTGCTATTAATGCAGCACGTGGTCGATGCGGGCTGTTGTTAAGTGCACTCCTCGAGATCCCTCCTACCTTACTTCAGTCCTCTCATCTCCTTCGGGCCAACGGCTCATTTCTCTTGGCATACGTGAACTGCTCAAAATTCAGAGGACTTCGCACTGAAGCTGACTGTAGACTTTATCAAGCTTATTGAGAGATGAACATGCCCCTCACTGATGAGACTGTTGAACCTCACTACGTCTGGTGCCACTCCTTCAAACTGTCATACTGTGTAGAAACGGTGGCAGCATCCTGCGCATCAAACAATGGTAAGGAGGAAATGCGTTTTACAAGCTTCGCATGCCCAATGTGGGATTCGCTCTGAGCAAAAAAAGTCGAGAGTCAATGCAGTCACGCTTCCAGCTTGCAGGTGTCGCCGAGGTCCCGTACATGGATGATCGTGGCCCGAATTATCCACGGACCAGAAACAACTTTGGTGCTCGCCATTTCTAACCAGAGAAAGAAGGAGTTATGTACGAATTGCCCGATGAGATGAAGTTTATTCCCCTTTTGGCACATGCCATTGTCCACTCAAGTTGCCAGAGACACGATTAGCCACACGAGGATAGGCTTGAGCTACCTTGACTATTTCTGAGGTAGGAACCCCTATACTCGTCGATAAACCGAGTAAAGGTGTCGGGGCAGAGACCTACTTCAAATACTTATTCCTGACAAACATGAGTTCTTTCAATTATTTAATCATAATCAAGCGTCGTGGAAGGAGAACCTTCAGGTAGTCGAACTTCTTCAGCTTTATTTATTTAATGGCAGTTATAATCTTATCGGTGTAAGGGAGAAGAGCGTTCTCTGAGAGTAAAATATTCTGCGAGCCCAGCCCCGTCGAATTTGTAGTAATTTGTATTTGACAGCAGAGAGCAGCAATGCGTGACGTACTAAGTAAGTAACAGGTGAGTTGATTATCTCAACTCGGTCTTAACTTGCGATACGAGAAGCAGCAAGCACCTAGAATTGCTCAGTGGTCGCCGCGATACATTGTTGTACTAGTTTGGGCTTTTTACGCCATGCTTGATAATTCTCCGACGGTAATATCAAAACCAGATCACTAGAGGTATGTCATTCTGGCACCTGCTGGCTAGTTGCAAGGTAAGGAAGGAATCCTTCAGTCGCTAGCCTAGTGAAGATATAAGTTTCCATCATGCGTTGTGGCCGAAGGATACTAATTTACTCGGCTTTCATACACGAAGTCAACTTGATGGCAAGCCGGCATTTGTCCAGGGGTGGACATTATTCTGTTCGGCTCAAGCACGTTCACCGGCCAAGGAGATTCTTTTCCAATTTTGCCCACCAATCTTGCCAGTCCACAATCTTCCTTCCAAGTCGGGCTTCTTCCGCAGCAAAGACCATAGCATGGCTCATGAATGCTTCCTTCAACGTACAGCCAACATGTCTCGCTTGCGCCTGCTCCACGCTGAGCTCACCATTAATGACAGCCTCCACAGCCCGAGAGAAGTTGTTCATCAGACCGCCATCGCCACCTTCATGACCGCCAGAAGCTGTTGGCGGGATGAAGACTTTGGCTGCCCCCGGGTCCCGAAATCGATCAAAGGTATAGACTCGGATCTCGTTACTGTCGTACTGCATCTCTCCATGGGTGCCCGAGATCTTGCCTCGCCGCTTGGACTGGGCTTCGGTGAACGCCGCCATATGGAAAACCGCCGTCTTCGGACCGCGGTCGGGGAATTCCTCGTTGCCCACAGCGCCTGAGTCGTCATCCCAGGTCAGAGTGACAATTTGATCGTCAAGAACATCATTATCTGACTCCCAGACACAACGACCATACCACTGTTTAGACTCGATGATGTCCCTTGGTGTAGAGGCGTCGTAGTCTGTAGAGAGAACCTCTTCCAAGACGGCACGTCCATGATCTGTCCCCAATGTAGCAGTGATATCTTCTATGTCAGGAACAACAACACAAATAGGCCAATCTCGTTCTCCCTTGTCATAGAGCTTTTCGAGGTACAGTTTCTTGGCACTCCAATCACAGCTCTGTTCGTGAGGACAAGAGAAGCAGTTCGTGGCGTTTTCCGCTGCCTTGGGCTTTCGACGCTGGGTAAAGAGTGATAGGTTGCCAACTGAGGAAATCAGGCTGGGCATATGGGCCGGTTGACCAGAATCCGTTCTGTAGCTGAGCAGCCACAGTAGAAAGTCGATATCATGGCAAGCCTTGCAAAGGAGTGTTGGCGCCGCAACTGACTCCTTTCGCCAGTTGCCTCGCACGTACGAATGTGAAAAATGGAACCAGCCAACTGGCTCTGTATGCTCCACAGATATAACCTCCCCGATCACCCTGTCTTCTAAGAGAAGTTTCCTCAAAAGCATGTTGTGAGGGCTGTATCGTAGAACATGACCGGTTGAAAAAATTGTTTCCGGTGTTGCACCGCCGAGGCTGACGTATATATCCTGGCAGTCCTGTAGAGATGTTGCAATCGGCTTCTCGCTCAAGACGTGAAGTTTGAGTGGTCCAAAGGCTTGCAGGATCTCTTTGTGTGTTTGGTCCTGAGTGCAGACAATGATACCATCAATACCCGCATAGACTTTCTCTCCAGAAGCTTCGGCTTGCCGTCGCTTACTCTCATAGTCGAGAAAGTCCTGCCACGAGTCGAAACTCTGGTCCTCTCGTGGTGCCCCGTCATCCCAAACATATTTCTTGCCAAACGAAATCCGTGTCGATTGTACAGGTTCTGCAACCGCCGCAATGATGGCTGGCAGCCTCTCTCGTCGTACTGCAGAAGCGTAGGCGGTTCCGCGCCGGCCGGCTCCAATGATGAGAAATCGAGGCTTGCGATGGACGGCTGAGCTCAATGCTCTTCGCGCCGAAGCCGTCAATCTCTGCGAATCGGTGTCGTCTACCCCTTTCATGTCGAATTATTCATAGTTTGCAAGTGATTGGTGATGACACTTCAACCCCGAGTATTGTTAGGTAGTGGGAGTTTCAATATAGGAAGCCTTCTGCTGTGCCCCGATAACTGATGCAGCCTGCCGACTGATCAGGCCATGGGACCCAACAGATGACATGCTGCTTAAAGCATATTGGTGCCCGCTCTGTGTAACCGGCTAAAGTACCCGGCTTTTTTACGCAGTAATATTGAATTTTCGCATGTTCGTAATGTCAGGCCGCGGCTCCGTCCTCAGCCTCGTAGAGTCCATCAAACTCACTTATCGTCTGGTCCGTTATTTGTCTGAGGGGACTGCCAGTTCCATGTTGTTTCACTCAATCAAGCAGGTCTTCGTTCTTTGATTTTTCTTTTGCCAGAAGCGACCTTCAAATATATCTGGATTTGATAAGGTGGCCTGCAATGGCTTCATATGTCTACACCGAACTCCAAGCTACAATAGGTGACTTGAGGCTGGTCATCTTGCAGCCAGGCAGCTACCGCGACGAGTTGCGCTGCAACATTCTTCATTATCCACTTCTCGAGCCAAAGGAACCTTTCAAGGACGAAAGGCTGCCTGTGAGCGAATTGCAGAAAACTCTTCCAGATGGCTGGACGGTGGATCAAACTTTGGATGGGCGATACCTGTTCATGAGCCCACGCCACTCAGGAATCCCTAATTCTTGGAAACACCCAGATCCCGAATATGATTCGAAAGCATACGCCATGCCAGAGCATTCTGTGAGCGACATCTTTGCGTGGCACGTACCTCCATATGAGGCCTTATCCTATTCCTGGGGAACTGCCAATGACGAAGAATTCATTCACATTACCGACCCAGCCAGTACTCACAACACGCCAGCCTGGTTAAGGATCCGCAAAAATCTAGCTACTGCCCTGAGACATCTTAGATACGCGGATCAACCGCGCACATTGTGGATCGATGCCATCTGCATCAACCAAGCCAACGTTGAAGAGCGTGGGCGACAAGTCAAGCGGATGAGCCAGATTTACCCACTTTCCGAAAAGGTGATAATCTGGTTGGGCTCCGAGTTTGAGGATAGCAAACATGCGCTGGAGACCTTGGAGTATTTCAGTAAACAGGTGGAATATGTGATTTCTCATCGGTGGGGAGATGCCCCCAACGCCGAGCAGCTTGATTGGTGGCGAGACGACGTTCCTCTGCCCTGGAAGGACAGGACTTGGAAATCCATATCTTCGCTACTCCATCGACCATGGTTCGAGCGTGTCTGGGTTCTGCAGGAAGCTCTCTTGTGCGACCGTGTGGTGCTTCAATGCGGCCGAGACGCTATCGCCTGGGTCGATGTACGCAAGGCATTACTGGTGCTCCGACAGAAGTCAAGTCTGCTGCCAGATGATATTAGGCGTCGTCTCTTCCCATATGCACGAGGCTTGATGGCACCGCCGCTCGCTTCGTGTGAGCACCTGTTACTCTGGACGCGGAATCAGCAATGCTCAGACCCTCGAGACAAGGTGTACGGAATTTTGGGCTTAATGGATCCCAGAATCGTAGCCAAGATCGAGGTGGACTATTCTTTCCCTCCTTGGAAGACATTTGCACAGCTCGTTTTAGCTGAACATGACGTCTACCAGAAATTGAACATGATCAATAATTGCGGCATAGCGACGCGTCCCGAGGGGTGCCCATCGTGGGTACCAAACCTGGAGCAACCAATAGAAGGTGCCAACATAGGGTACTTGAGCATTCGAAGATTTTACGCTTCTGCACGCTCCAGTGCTGTGGTGAAGCTCATCGAGCCGGCTGACCATCTACAAGTCACCGGGAGACGCGTGGCCATCATCAGTCGTGTTAGCGATGACTTGAACGGCACATTCGTACAACTCATGGAAGTGGTCCGAGATTGGGCACCGAAAGATCCACAAAACGACATGTACGTCTCGGGAGGACTTTCTATGGATGCATATGTCGAAGTCCTTGTGCGCGGTAGGACCAGCGACAGAGCTCTGGGGGATAATCCGCTTCCATCCATCCGGCGGCTTCGCGAGCTGTTGACATCGGCACTATATAAAGACAAACTTGATGGTGAGGTAGCGCGGGCATTCAAAGATTGCTTCTTCGCGAACGAATGTCTCTTTGTTACCACGGAAGGGTACATGGGTGTCTCTGCGAGAGGCCTGCAAGAAGGCGAGTCCCCTCCATCTCAAGACTTACCTCTAAGGTAGTCAATCGATTTCGATCGTGTGAGGTTAACCTCTAGAACTAGGCGATCAAGTTGCTGTGATTCTTGGATGCGACTTCCCACTGATTCTACGGCCTGGAGATCCCGGCCGATACGAGGTCGTTGGGCCGTGTTTCGTTCATGGGCTAATGCTCGGCGAGGCCTTGAAGCCACCTTTAAAGCCGCCGTGGAAAGATGCGCTTCCCGTCACCAAAGGTTGGGCGATGCCGTATTTCATCAACACCGAGACGCTCGAGCTTATGAAGACCGATGTGAGGCTCGGTTCATTGCCTCTTGACTGGGAAGAGGTGGCGTCAATCGATCCCTTTTTGCCGCCCTTCGTGTTCAAGAACAAGAATGATGGGCGTATCAGTGTTAATGATCCAAGGATGTCGGTAGACGCTATACAGAAAAGGGGTATCGAACTAGAAACTCTAGTGTTGACATGATCCGGGGCAATGTCCTTGGATTTCCCTGGGTCACATCTAGAAACGTTGAAGTAAAGAGGTATCAGTAGTAGTAATAATAGTCTATGAACTCCACGTCTTGAGACCTTCTTGTCATATGGCTTATTGACTCACCCTGCCTTACGACATGTCATCAAGCACAATATACCCAAAGCACTTGCGGAGAAAACAACATGTCACAGCATCACCCAATCTCTTACATGATTCGCATCTACCCAAACGCTGGCTACATACACCAACCCATCCCACCTCACAACTTCGCCTTCCCCCCACTCTCAGCCTGACTCCTCCCAACAAGCTCCCAAGCAAACTCCGCCAACGGGCCCCTCGTAACAGCAAACCTCTTCGCCTGCTCACTGCTCGCCTGCCCCTGCGCCGCCCTCGCCGCGATGCCCTGACACACGCCCGCCAGCCGGAACAGGCTAAACGCCGCGCCCCACGACAGCTCCGCCGCGGGCGTCCACCCGCCGCCCACGGGCGAACCGGCGGGGGCCTGCGCCGCCTCGGCCGTGTACCACCCGACAATCTCCTCGATCGTCGGCAGACCCGGGGTAGCGCCGGGGAGGAAGCCGTCGTTGGCGTAGAGACCGCTTCCCGCGCGCGAGGCGGTGAAGTAAGGGTGGAGGAAGTTGCAGAGGTCGGAGAGGGGATGGCCTACGGTGGACATTTCCCAGCTAAATTATTGTCAGCCTTGAGACAAGTTCATAACTTGATTGGGGAAGAAGAGAACGAGAAAGAAGAACGGGGGGCAGGGAAGACATACTCCAGAATACCAATCACCCTCGGCTCCGTCTTGTGAAAAACGAGATTATCAATCTTGTAATCCCCATGAATCAACGTGCCCCGGTCCTTGGGCTGCCGACTCTTGTCGCTAAAAAACGCAACCATCTCCCCAAAATGCGGCAAATCCCCAACCTTTTCCCCCGTCTCCAGATCCACCGCCGCCGCCTGGCTCTTGCAAATCGTAGTCCACGTCTGAATCTGCCGATCGTAGAACCCGCTCTTCTTGCCAAACGTCTGCAGGCCGACGTCCTCGGGCGCGACCCGGTGTAGCTTCGCCAGCGTCAGCGTCGCCGCCTTCCACAGCGCCTTGCGCTCCTCGGGTGAGGCGACCTCGGGCATGGCCGCGTCCTCGAGGATGCGCCCGTCGAGAAACTCCATGATGTAAAACGCGGTGCCGACGACCGACTCGTCCTCGCAGAGGCAGTAGGCCTTGGGGACCGGTACGTCGGTGGGCTCGAGGGCGTGGATTATGCGGTGCTCCCGCTCGACCTTGTGCGCGGCCTTGGAGAGAAGCTTTCCGGGGGGCTTCTTGCGCATCACGAAGCGCTTGTTCGTCGCGTCGGTGAGTTGGTATGTCGGGTTCGACTGGCCAAAGCCAAACTGTAATGTGTGGGAAAAGGCCAATGTTAATCGAGGAAAGGAACGTTCCTTCTAACCACGGGCAAAGAAAAGAACAAGGCATTGAAGAGGCAATGCTGGTACGGAAGGCGGGCCGTAGACGTACCTGTTTAATTTCCAGTGGCGTCTTGATCTGCGGCACATTCTTCTCGATATATCGTTCCAGCGCCTGCTGGTCGATTGGGTGTCGCACGCGTCCTGCCATCTTGTGCTGTGCCGTCCTTGGAGTGTGGAAAGACTGGGTTCTGAGCTCAAGGGTCGTGTCCGCTGCTGATTTCCAGTCGAGTATCGCGGATTGTAGTCGCAATTGGCTTAAATAGTACAGGTTCTCACTTCGTAGGGATACTTGTCGGATTAAACCGGCTGCCGATGAAGATATGTAGTCAGTCGAGGTCGTTGCAGGTCCGCCGATGCCGTCAAAGTTCTCGGTCGTAGAGAGGTGAATTTCGGGGTACAATATTAAGGTACCACCCACCTAGGCTGGCCGGCGCATCTCTGGTTCGGACCTTTGCCAGCCTCGGTTCGTCCCCCAGTGACGTTTTAGCGGGCACGCGGGGGTGAGCCGGGGCCTGGAATGCTATCCAAAACTCCATACAAGGTGGGCGGCCGAGAGAGCAATCTGATTGACTCCCCCAAAGCTGCCCCCAGCCAGCACAAAGATGCCGAGGTCCACCGGCCTAAGGAGCCTCAGAGCTGTCTTAGCTTTAGGACTGTCCAGTCTCCAGAGCGGGGGAGACGGACGCAATTGGGGAACCTGCACCCGACTCAGCCCAGGGTCTCCTTCACAGATGGTCCTTGGGATGCAGCAGAATGCGGAGGTGGAGGCGGGCCTCGATAGCCGCACCCGACCGAGCCAGAGATCCAATCTGAACTATTGAAGCCAGCCATTCCGTTCCTTCATGCATGGCCCTGATCGAGGATACGTCGCCACGGCCCCTTCATCTGCTGGTCCAAAAGCCTCGTTCCTGTGCTGCATGATCCATCTTGTAGGTACTTTGGAAAGAAGCCCATCCTAGCTCCGAATCCCTCCTTCACATAGAGTGTTGGTGTAAATCGTGGATAACATCCTCCTGGTCACCCTCAATGGCACGCATTTGCAGTAAAAAGACTAAAAGGTATAAATTGCTCAAAAAGTAATAAAAAAAAGTTCGTTAAATCCGTGTTTCTCTCCATACATACGAATCCGGCGACGGATTTTGCCAGGAAACCCAGTCTATCTCCATCAATCCAGCAAGTAAGAAGTGGTGAGGCAGATAAATATAAGCGTAGATATCATCTTCAATCATTCTCTTGTTCCCGTACATCAAACTCGCGGCACACCACTGGCTGGCGGCTTTTCGTTTTGGGTTTTTCTTTTCTCTTCGTTTCAACTCCCTGCTGAATCACGAAATATAAAATAAAAAAAAGGAAGCCGTTGGTAGCCAGACCATCTGCCCAATTCCCACACTACCGACCATTCCCCAAGAAGAAGAATCCCTGGTCCAGGAAAAGAATTGTGACACGAAGTGAAGTCAAATCAAAAACAACAAGGAGAAGGGGGTAATCGAGTAAACACAAGAGGGGTATCCGTCGTTTCGAGTCGTCCATGCATTCTTCCCTCCCATTTCCCTTGCGGCCACCCGTCTAAACGGGCGCCATGCTGTTGCCAGTCGATAATGTGTATTAGCCGTGAAAGCGAAAAAAAAAAAGAGGCGCGATAAAAAAAAAGCCAATGACGACCGAAATGGCATCGGCTAGACCTGGCAGCCAGAGAGCAATGAGAGTCCTGTGTACCGGCCCGCATGCTGCGTATAAAGACATCTGGAAAACTCCAGCCCCTATAGACACATCCCGTACAAGCTCCCTCCTCTCCTTTGTAACCCCAATTCGAAAGAGTGGAGATGGCTACAAGTCGTCTCTGCAGACGGTCGTGACTTCGTGATCGAAATGCGCGACAAAACATGAACGAATAGTATGGCTGCGAATCAAGACTCGTCATCCTCCTCCTCGTCCTCTTCAGGAGTCTCGGATGCTTTCTTGGCCTTCTTGTTCGAGCTGGAGTCGTCGGCTTCCGATTTCCTCTTGGAGCCGGCTTTGGACTCGACAACGTCCTCGGGACCCTCGCCAGAGCCACCACCCTTCTCGCGCTCGATGGCGGCAACCTCCTCAGCAGTGAGGAAACGGCCTCCAGGTCCGCGAGGCCGGCGCATAGCATGGTTGTGCCTTGACTCGTGAAGGTATGGCTTGCGGCCCTTGGACGTCAGACGCAGCTGCTCCTCCAACTTTTGGCGTGCGACACGACGCTTGAGAATACGATGGAACTGCTTAGCATTGACGTAGAGGGGCGATTCCTCGACACCACCGGCGGGCATCTCGGGTGATTGCGGGTGAGGCATAGCTTGAGCCTGAGCCATTTGCGGCGGCGCAACACCAGGTCGCGCGCCGACGTGATTCATCATACCCTGCGCCGTAGGTACTCCGGGGCTGGTGACTTGACTGAGGCGTCTCTGGCCCGGTAGCTGCGAAACGTTGTTCATCTGGGTGGGTGATCTAGGATCGCGACTCTCCTTCTTCGCTCCACCCATTCGCGGCGAGGTTTGGGGCAAACTGGGGTCCGACTGCATGTAAGGGTAGTTGGATCCCGACGCAGCTGCAGTTGCCGCCATGGCGGCGGCTTGGATTTGAGGCATGCCATAATGCATTCCCTGCTGGGGGACGTTGTACTGTGGCTGGTACATGTTGTGTCCCTGTTGTTGAGAGGGTGATTGCTGTTGAGACAGGATAGGTGACGTCTGTACGCCGTGAGGAGAGGTGATGTTGTTTCCTGTGGTGGAGTTCGTGTATCCGGAGTGGGCGTTTTGAGGTTGTTGAGGATATTGTGCGTATTCCATCATACTGGGGTCAAGCTTGTTCGAGGGATGATCAAGTTATGCAATGAAGGCTATTGTCTTCGTCGCGTAGGGTATCGGAACCAATAAGAAGCCAGCTAAGTGGTGTAGCTTGACAGCAGCTTTGGCGCGGTTGAGAAAAACGTGACCGTGGGAAGGGAAAAAAAGGGTATCACGGCTATGGGTCGCGAGTGACGAATGAGTTGCGACGAAAGCTGCCTTTCTCGTGAGGAGTGAGCTTTAAAATGACTGGGACGGCCCGTCTGCTTGGGTTGAGTTGGGCACACGGATTGGGAGCCGGCGGTGTCCTAGGGTCCTTTTTCCAGTGTATTGGGAGCGGAGGGGCTCAATCTATTGGTGATGCGTGGATGAGCTGGCAGTGGTGCGCGACGCAAGTGGCCGACCACGGCATATGCGGGCTGATGTAGTCGCGGGGCGGACGAGGTGGGTGGCTGAGCCTGGGGTCAGAATGACAGCCACGTGAGAGCGGCGAGAGTGTGTGGGTTCGACAGAGGCGGGCAGGTATGTCGAGGCTGCTACCGTGCAAGGCGGAGGCGAGGCGGCGTCGGTTCTGTTGCTTCTAGCCGATCAAGGGCTCCTTGGTCCTGGGCTGGTCTACCGGCTGCACAGCGGGAGCGGGTAGGGCAAGAGTCGGCTTGTCCTTGTTCTTTTGGACGAAACAGGTCGGTCGGTGCCTTGAGTTCTCCAGAAATTAGAGACCGTTTAATCCTTTTCCACTTCGCGTCGTTAGATCTGTCCAACCAAGAATGTTAGTTTTCCTGTATATAAGCCAGAGCTCGGGATGATGCGACAAAGACAAGCAGATGGGGTGGGGTTCATGTTTCTCTCCTGGCGTCTCGGGCCACCACTTGATGCGCTGGCAGACCTCGCATGCATGACGGAATATGCAGAGACAAGGCCCACCATGCCAACCTACGCCGCGACACTTCCCCTTGATGCGGTTATGGTGGCGGCGCAGAGCCAAAAGACAGTCCGAGCTGCGTTGACAGAGCCCGTGCTTGTACCGGTGGAGGGGAAGGGGTGCCTGTACAGGGCGCTGTCGTGTATCGCTGCCACAAGTCAAGCTAAGCTCACTGAGCGCTTCGCAACAACGTCCATTCCACTGGGAGTGCACCTCGATGTGGTGGTAGTGGCAGGCATGAGAAACCTTTCCAATGCGCTGCTGGTGCTGCTGCTGCGTCGATATGCCGCCGAAGGGGTGCTTCGAGAAGTCGTAGAAGACTTGATGCGAAGCACAACAGTCGAGACAGCGGAACGTCAAAGGATGAGGTAGTGAAGACCCTCTCCCCTAAGGGCTCCCCTAAGGGTGACGCGAAGGCCCGCAGATGACAGGAAAGAGACAAATTGACGTGTACATAGTGAAGGGGAGGGGGGAGCACCGAGGGATGGGTGGTTACACCCCCGGAGAGCACGGGAAGAGTACGAGTGCTGGAGATGCTGAGGACAATGTGATAATGAAGAACGTACAATAAACGTACCACGAAAGTTGGAGATCTGGGTGTAATCGCCGATGAAAGCGATGTGCCGCGAAGGAGGTGTGAATGTTATGCGCCCTACTCAAGTCAGTAAGCATGTGTTGTCCATCCCGGTTTCGAAGAACAACAGGTGCACACAAATCGTGTGTGTGTGAGGAATTGGGAGAAAAGAACAGACAACAGCCAGAAGAGTATCCGTACTGGTCCTGTTCCAAGAATTCGTCAAGTTTTCTCCCTCTTCCACTTGGCAATGCCAGATAGATAGGTAGCCCGAGATATGAAGCGCCGAATTTGACAGAGGAGCCAAACTCGGATAGCGTACAAAATAGAAATGACCAGGCGGGATAGGGAAGGAAGATGGCGGCCGTCGTCAGGGACAAGGAAGCGCGCGTACAAGGCTGGACAGGAGGGGCGCCAAAGGACTTGAGTCGAGTGGCATGCGAAACGTACCTGGTTGGCTGAATTTTTGGCTTTGGGGGTGAAATTCTCGGGGATTGGCTCCTGGTCTAAGTCGAGACGAAGCTTTCTGATAGGCTTTTGACTCGAGTGTCACGATATGAGCTTGAATTCGCCTCCGAAGAAGCTATGACGCGTTGCGCGATAGAATGTTTGGCGGGAGGGCGAAAGTGCGACGCGGTTGGGCTGAGTAGCCTTTTGCTGTGGTCGCGGTGCGCTGCGCTGATGCGATGCGATGCGTGCGGTCCGGAGCGCTGCGGTCAAACAGGCAGAGACGGGAAAAGATGCTCTTTTCCGCAGGTCGCTTCAGTCACCTGATGAGCGAGCAGTTGATATTGCTACTGGTGTTGGGCCAATAGACAAGATGCTTGGTCGCAGGATAGCGAGAAGATCAAAGTCGACGATGATAGGACCTCTCTGGGGGGATTCCAAGTCGCGAACAATTCACGACTGTTGGGTGAGTGGTGAGTGGTGAAATGTGAGTGGTGGTGTCAGGTCGGGGGAGACGTTTGGAGAGTTGAGGGAGGGACGTGAGTGGTCGCAAGAAAAAACCGAGCTGATTTGCTGGGTTTTGTGGGAGGGCGGGTTTTTTCTGGCTTTTGGCTCGTTGGATTCGCTGGAGCTTTTCCTTTTGGCGAACTGGGGCTCTTTGGCACTTTGTACGCCTGTTTCGGAGGGTCGAGAGGGTCGAGAGGGAAAAAAAACCAAGCAAAAGGTGCGTGGATCCTGAAGACACGAGTGTGAGTGTGTGGCGTCGGCGGAAGATGGGTCACCTTTTTTTTTCCCTCTTGCTGGGATCAGGTGGGCCTAAGGCTGCGAAGAGAAAGGGGGGGTGTGTTTAACAGAAACTGCGGTGGGAAAGACGGAAGGAGGGGAAAGGAAAGGGAAAAAGGCCAGGGCGAGGAAGGTGAGAAGGGCAAGGCAGCCAGGCAGAAGAGGGGTAGGGGGGGTGGGAAGTGGGAAGGGGGTATGGTTTGCTGACGTTGACGTCGCAGTGAGGGAAGGAAGGAGCAAAGCAGACACGGGCGGACTGGGAGAGGGTAAGGGCGGGAAGTGAGGAAGTGAAGTCTTGGGTAAAGCCGCACCGTGGTACTCCGAAGTGGTGGTGGTGGTGGTGGTGGTCCAACCTACAGCAATGGAAGGTACGCACACACGCCCCCTCCCGCGTTGAGGTGTAATTATTTTCTTTCCACTTTCTCAGGACGTCGTCGCCAGTGCGAATGCACCACGCCAGACAGGAAGTTGGGCTGGCAATAAAAGTGGCAGAGTCGGTAGGCAGGGCCGGGCAGGGCAATGTTGCGTCACTGCTTTTCTTCCTTTCTCGATCTGAGTCGTCGAAATCTGCGTTGTCTGTCTTATTCTTGGGTTGCCTTCCCACCACCGTCTTCTGGCGGTGTGTGTAAGTGACCGTGAGGTGTGTAGAAGGAGGCAGGAAAGAAAAAGTGCGCGCGGGCGTTGTGCTCGGTGATGCGTTGCGTTGCCGCTGACGGCTTGCCTGTTTGCCTGCCTGCCTGTCGCGCTATGTTTCCCCCTCACTGTCACTTGCAGACCTTTTCTGCTTTTCTTCACGTCTGCTCTTTGGCGATTCTTCGCGCGCGTCTCTTTGCAGCTTTGCTAAGATGTCGTCCGCACAACACGCCCTGGTTTCAAGATTGATAGAACGCCAAAATGCGGAGCGGATAGGCTTAGCTGATGATTGGCGACCGATTGATATGATGGTCGAGGGTCCAATGGAATGACACCAGCTTGGGCGACCCTGGTGTCTGTTTCCAAGTGCTGTTGAGGGACGAAAGCTGATTGAATGATTCGACTCGCTCGCTCTCTTGCTGTTTGCTCACCCTCTGTCTCGTTCTCCCGTCCTCTCTCTTTTTTTTCTGCCTTCGCACCTTGTCACGTTTGGGTGGGTCGGGAAGGATTGATTGGTTGGGGCGGAGGAGGAGGTGGAAGACGAGGGAGAATTCTGGTCCATGATTTGAGGGGCGGGGACCATTAACCCTTTAACATCTCTTACTGGCTAAATAAGCGGGTCCGGGTGGGACATTGGGTGTGGCTGGCGTCGCTGGCTTCGCTTCTGATTTGCTGTCATGACGTGATTCTGAGCTGGGTCTGCTATGCTCACACCTCTTTTTCTCCGACAGAGAGGAAGGAGGGGTGCGCTCTGGATGGATCTGTGGGAAGAAGTGGGTCTTTCCCGTAAGGCATCCAGTCATTTTCCCATTCTCCCGTCGCTCCTTCACTGCTTGTCGAATTTCCTGGCCTTGGTTTTTTATTTCATTTTATTTTTGAATTCATGTGCAAGAAAGTCAGGTGCAGAAGTAACTATCTCCCATTGTCCTAGGAAGGTACCAGTGTTGTTACTGAGGATGGAGGTCCCTCTAGTTGACAAATTTCGTGCCGAACATCTCAACTGTTATCAACAAGTCAGCATCTTCCCGTGTGATTTTGATAGCGTCTGCTAGAAAGAAGTTTACATTCCCGAACGTGGCTCGTCGCCCTCTTCCGTTCATGGCGACCTTTCTTTTCCCTCTAGGTTCCTCCGAGCGCTCAGCGTCTGCCTGTCAACCTCTTTGATTTTCTGCCCTGGTCCTCTAACTCTCGACTTTTCCGCATGGGGCAAAGTCTCCATCTGCCACGTTACTTCAGCACTTCCCTCTCTTAAAGCAAGGCTGCACACGCCAGCGACGACAGAAAACATGAGACGAGGAGGGACTCATCGTACCGCTGTCGCTCAATGCCCATCCCGACCTCCCGGCAGGATGACCACTTTTGGTCCATGCTGACCCAAGCTCCAGCTCCAACACGACACGCGATATGCGGTGCAGCGCTACAGATAGACAGACTGCACTCGTTATTCTCCCGAAGCTCCAAGTTCTAGAGCTATTGAGGCGGACCCTACTGCACTGTACCTTGGGCTACCTCACCACGCCTCTCATCCGTGTCTTCCCATTTTCTCAGCCGTCGTTTCATAGCACGGCTGCGGTATGCGCGTACGGTATGGGTGACGCAACAAACCAGCCGGTCAGCGTCGGCACTGAAGCGAAAACCTGATCCATC